GAACTCACTTATTAATCACATTACAAATATCAAAAACCTCTTAAATTATGCTACATCATCAATTAGTACACTAGTTTTTTTTTGATCGGCAAAATGAAACTTTATTGATGAACAAACAAGTACAATGAAACAAGTTAAATACATCAATAAAGGGCATGGGAGTGCAACGCATCACAATGAGCTAATTGATCCCAACTAGGTTGGCACCAAAGAGATCATCCTATCATTTGCTAGCACCCCATAGTTGGTGAGGGACCAACGAAATTAGTACACTAGTTAGTACACTAATTAATGCATATAACATTATTCATATAAAAAACCTCTTAAATTATGTCACATTATCAATTGGTATATGCATATAGCATTATTCATTGGATATGGATTAAATATGTTTAGTATTTTCTTTTTTTTGTACTTTTTATAGAAAGATTTTTAAATTCGGAAATTATGAAAACAATTAAATGGGTCAACGCAAATTATTGTAAATTCTTTTTCATATTTATAATCAAATAAAAATTAAAAAGTTACCATATTAATTATTAAATTATTTAATTAAAAATAGATTAAATTTTGCTAGTTTTTTTTTTTTTTTTTTTTTTTTTTTTTTCTATAGAAAGATTTTTAAATTCGGAAATTATGAAAACAATTAAATGGGTCCACTCAGATTATTGTAAATTCTTTTTCATATTTACAATCAAATAAAGATTAAAAAGATACCATATTAATTATTAAAGTATTTAATTAAATTGTAATAAAAATACCAATAAAATTGAAAGAACAAAAAGTATAATTACAAACGTATTTTTTATATTTAAAAATTTTAAAAATTAGATTAGAATTTTAATCCTCTGAGTGGCAATAATGTTTTTGCTTACATAATTGTACAGATTTTAAAATAAAATTTGTTGGTACAACATTTAATTTGGAATTTGAAAAAGAAATAAAATTGATGACACTACATAGGTCAAAATATTAGATTCATTTTTTAAACCAAATGATGTGGCAGTCTAATGACTATGTAATAGAGTATTTCTATTACATATGTAATGACTAAAAAATAAGAATGTTATTTTATAATTAGTTTAAATTAAAAAAAAAACATTATAGTCATTGTTAGATGATATAATATAATCTCTCTATTATAAATATGTATGAGAGAGAGGATTACAATAAAAAAAAGATACAGATTGTGTATCATTTTCTTTATTAGGAAAAAGAAAAAGAAATGTGATGGTTAAAGCCCTCAAAATATCTGAGAATAGTGGATAAAGGGAAGAAGGAGAGAGGATGTTCTCTCTCTGTTTCCAGAAAAATAAATTAGCAGTGAAGAGAGAAGATAAAGAATGTTGATAAATTAAGAAAAAATTACCACACAGATGTATTTTTTAAGAAACAATTATATATATGTAAAAAATTTAATGACAATAATAATTAAAATTTATAAATTTTACATTAATTTGAATTTTTTTCTTTTTCTTTTTCTTTTCAAACTTCACATATTTTCCCATAAATTAAAGTTTGGAGAGTAAACATGAGTCTCACATGGGAGTGTGAGTCTTACATCTGAATTTGGTCAAACATAACAATACTATGAATACAAAAACTAGAATATTGCTATTGAAATTTAAAAATTAGATTTATTTTTTAGATTCAATGATATAGCATTTTATTAAAATATTTAAGTCAATTATTTCTCTCATTTATTCTCTAATGCTCAACCAATTATCTTATTAATACATAACTCGGTTTATATATCATTATTTCAAAAAATATTATCAAGAATTTGACTAAACATTTACATAGATGTGGACCCAAACTCATGTAAGTGTTTGATAAAAATTGTTGTAAATTATTTGAGATCTCCAATATTTTTGTGAATTATATATAGAACAATGCTAGAGACTCATATTTTGCATCTACAAATGTATCTGTAATAAGAGTGGTGCTACATATATCAATTAGTGTACTAACTAATGTATCAAACACAGTTATGATATTATTATTAACTCCACTCATTATACAAATTACAAAAATAAAAAATCTCTCAAATTATACTACATCATTAATTGGTACACTAGTTATTACACTAATTGATGCATATAATTTTAGGCCTCGTTTGAGAATAGGCTAATTTAGTAACTTTTTGACTATTTAACGAAAATATGAACTAAAAAAAACTAGTATGTTTGTGATGACTTTTAGCTTTTTATGAAAAGATATGTAAAAAGTAGAGAGAAAATAGAATTATTGATTTTTTGGTATGAATTGTTGAATTTTTAACTTTTTTAATAAATTTTTGACTTTTTAACTAAAACGAGACCTTGGTCCTATAATAATGGGGTAAAAATAGTTGGTTTTATATCATTAAATATTCAACTAATCAAAAACTCATATTTGGCATCCAATTATGAAAAATTTGTGACGATGTCAAATAATATGGTCATTGTGTATCTTTCATCTCTGTCCTCCTATAAATACTGTCTTCTTTTGTTTTAATGCAATCAATCCCAGAATCAAACAACCAGCATCTCCATTTAATAAACAGAGTCGCTGAAGCCTCCTCATAACCATCTTGCAATTTGTTTGGAGGAGAGAAGACATGGAGAAGAAAATGTTGATGAATTTTCTTATACTATTATTGGCGGTTCTGGTTTTCTTTCACTTGTCCATGGCATCAATGGAGAAGAAGAACGATGTACAGAAACGAACATATATAGTACACATGGCGAAATCCCAAATGCCGGCGAGTTTCGACGAACACACTCAGTGGTACGACTCGTCTCTCAAATCAGTCTCCGACTCAGCCGAAATGCTCTACACATACAACACCGTGGCCCATGGATTTTCAACCAGATTGACTGTTGAAGAATCTCAGTCACTCAAATCCCAACCCGGGGTTCTCTCTGTGTTTCCCGAGACCAAGTACGAGCTTCACACCACTCGGACTCCTCACTTTCTGGGCCTCGACAAGAACCCAGATTTGCTACCCAAGTCAAACTTAGTGAGTGAAATTATTGTTGGAGTGTTAGACACTGGTGTTTGGCCGGAGAGAAAGAACTTCGACGATACCGGACTGGGTCCGGTTCCGAGTAAATGGAAAGGGACTTGCGAGACCGGTACAAACTTCACTGCATCGAACTGTAACCGGAAGCTAATCGGAGCGAGGGTTTTCTACAAAGGCTACGAAGCCGCGGCCGGTCCGATTGATCCATCACAAGAAACAAAATCGCCGAGGGACGACGCTGGCCACGGGACCCACACCTCCAGCACCGCCGCCGGGTCCGTCGTCGTCAACGCTAGCCTCTTCGGTTACGCTTCCGGCTCCGCTCGAGGAATGGCTTCGCAGGCGAGGGTGGCTGTCTACAAAGTGTGCTGGACCGACGGCTGCTACGGCTCAGACATATTAGCCGGCATGGATAAAGCAGTCGACGACAACGTCAACATTCTCTCTTTATCGCTCGGCGGTGGATTTGCAGATTATTTGTCAGACACGGTCGCAATCGGAGCTTTCGCGGCCATGGAAAAGGGCATCCTGGTGTCTTGCTCAGCCGGTAACAGTGGGCCGGATCAATACAGTCTCTCTAACCTTGCTCCGTGGATCACCACCGTGGGTGCCGGAACTTTGGACCGTGATTTTCCGTCGGTCGTTAGACTGGGCAACGGTTTGAATTTCACCGGCATGTCACTTTACAAGGGTGCTTCATTGCCGAAAACGTTGCTGCCACTTGTTTACGCTGGTAATGCTAGTAATGCTACGAATGGGAATCTTTGTTTGCAAGGCACTTTGATTCCTAAGAAAATCCGTGGGAAAATTGTGGTGTGTGACCGCGGAGACAATCCTAGGGTAGAGAAAGGGGCTGTGGTGAAAGCGGCTGGTGGTGCCGGGATGGTTTTGGTGAATGGGCCGGAGAATGGCGAGGAGGTGTTGGCAGACGCCCATCTGCTGCCGGCTACGGAAGTGGGTTACAAAGCCGGCAAGCTAATAAAGAAATATTTGTTTTCGGATCGTAATCCGACAGCCACGCTTCTTTTTGAGGGAACGAGGGTGGGGATTGAACCGTCTCCGGTGGTGGCGGCATTCAGTTCAAGAGGACCAAATTATCTCACACCGGAGATACTCAAGCCCGATCTTATCGCACCAGGTGTCAACATCCTAGCCGGTTGGACTGCTACAGAGGGACCCACTGAATTACCTATTGACAAGAGACGCGTTGAGTTTAACATTATTTCTGGCACGTCTATGTCTTGCCCACACGTGAGCGGTCTTGCGGCAATACTCATGGCGGCGAAACCCGAGTGGAGCCCCGCCGCCATCCGCTCCGCTCTTATGACCACCGCCTACACTACGTACAAAAACAAGCACTTAATCCTTGACGCAGCCAACGGAAAGCCATCTACGCCGTTTGATCACGGCGCTGGACACGTGGACCCTATATCTGCCTTTAATCCCGGACTCGTCTATGATATGGACGTCAACGATTACTTGGGCTTTCTCTGCGCCTCAAAGTTCTCAGCGTCGGATATTCACACAATCTACAGACAGAATTTCACATGTGACCCAGCAAAGAAATACAGTTTTAGTGATTTCAACTACCCTTCATTCTCTGTACCTCTCCAAGGCACAAAAAGTGGCCACCGATACCGAACCACAGTGGTGAACCATTCAAGAACCCTCACTAACGTTGGCTCACCCACAACTTACAATGTGTCTGTTCATTTAAAAAGCAAATCAGTTAAAGTTTTGGTTGATCCAGTGTCCTTGAGTTTCGCCCGATTGAATGAGAAGAAAACTTATACGGTGACGTTTACAATCGGTTCAAGGCCAACTAATACATTTAGCTACGGATGGATCGTGTGGTCAGACGGAGAGCATGTTGTTAGAAGTCCGATTGCCATCAGCTGGATATATTGAACTAGAAATGAAAATAGTATATTATTGTTTAAAATTTTCCAAAAATAAATGCGATTTCTAGTGTTGATATTATTCTCTAAAAGATAAATCATGAGAAACCAAGCAGTGTACACAGTTTTTCATGTCTCTGTGTCCAATGGATTTGCCTGTATAAACACTCGTTAAAAATTAATAACGTAGTAATATATAAAACAAAACAAACGACAATGCTACGTGTCTTAATTTGTATTAAGATCCTGATTTGGTGAAATGATCTTCTAGAGTGATCCTTATAACGCGACTTCTGTCCAGCTAATGAAACAAGGACTGAGATGACTATTTACCAAAATGACGTAGTTTTGGTGAGGTGACCAAAAAAAAATTCTGGATTGCAGTGGTTCGAACATGACTGAGAGAGAGAGAGAGAGAGAGAGAGAGAGAGAGAGAGAGAGAGAGAAGGGACTGAGGAAAAGGAGAGAGAGGAGGGGTTGAGGGAGAAGGAAGCCATTAGCCAAAGTAGCGTGGCCAGCAAGATTCTGGCCAACTTGGATTGGAACTTGGCCATTTCAGTCTCAACAGGATTCTGGGTTCTGAGAATAGGGACACTGCAATTCTCCACACAAGTGTTAATCTCATCTTGGGTTCTGCTCCTGTCTAAGCACTCGTAAGCGCATTTAAAGTAGGATTGCTGCAGAGACCATTCAAAACAACCCATCACAAAACAATCAAATATAGGCATGTAAGTGCATAATGCATATAGAAACATGGGTTTTTTAGAGAGAGACCTGAAGAGTGAAATTGATGTTGTCTTGCACGTGAGAGAGTTGGGTTTGAGAGGCTGTGTTGACTTCGTTGAGTTTTCTCCTCAATCTCTCTGTCACAATTTGCTCTTCCGCTGCAGGGTTGCTCTCTCTGAAATCCCAAATTCGGAACGGAGTGGGAGGGAACTAGGCTATGTTGTTTTGGGAGATAGAGATGAGATTGAGATTGAGATTGAGATTGAGACGGACGTAAGACCCATTTTATGTTGTGTTTGTTTTAGGAGATGGAGAGGGGATTCATAATCCCATGGAATTAGGATAGGTCTTGGTGTTCGGATTGAAATGGATGAGGTGGATATGGTATTAGGAAATTAGTTCTATGAGATTAGATTTTTTTATTTTTTTTTAATTTTAAAAATTTTTTATTTACATGTTGAGCTTTTTTTTAACATTAATATTTAATGTTTTTGTATTTTTTGTTAAGTAAAAATTATAATTTTATTTGTTTTAATATTTTATATTTCTTTTATAGGGTAATAATTTAACAATCCTTACATTAATAATTACCATCAAAACAAACACAATTTTACTCAATTCCCTCACTATTAATCTCCTCCATTCTACCTCTGAAAACAAACGGGGCCTTAGGGTGTGTTTGTTTTGAAGGATTAGGCCATGAGATTGGACTAATAGTCCTTTGTTTGTTGCAAAAGTTTTGCTCTGAACTATTAGTCTCATATTTGTGGGACTATCCTATCCCATTGGTGGGGGGATAGAAATTATGTGATAACTCATCCCATGGAATTAGCCAATGAAATTATATTTTTGCCCTCTAGTATTTAATTATGTATTATATTTAGTAAAATTAAAAAAAATTTAAATGTCTCAATTTAAAAATAAAATAATTTTATTTAATTTTTATTTTTGTTTTATTTATTTAATTTATTTAAATATTTTTTTATAGATATTTTATTGATGTTTTATTTTAAAATTTTGTTTATATTTTATTTAATTTCATTATTTAAATTTTATAGATGTTTTATTTAATTTCATTGTTTAATTATTATTTTTTTAAAAAAAATTGGTGAGATGGTAAGCGCTTACAAATTTGACTTTGCCAAGTCTGAAACATCAAGTTGTGCACCAATACTTGGAGACTCTCAAGAGTCCCTAATAAAGCCAAATTTGTGGGTAACTAACCCAAAGGACTATGGGTACCAACACCACATGGGTTTTCGGGCTTATATCAACAAACAAACTCGTTATCCATGCGCTTCCGATCACACAACTCACACGAAGTGAACTGGCCCAAAATTCATGGTTCTCGAGCCCAAAAAATTAAACTAACTCAAAATCAAATACAAGGCCTCAACCTTAAACTTTAATTTCAACTCAAACCCAAAACTCAAAATTCAAGTTTAGTAATTTTAGTGAAATTGCTCATTTGCACACTTGAGTTCTTTCAACCCTTACACCATTAACTAGTTTCATCAACATGACCCTCTTTCCATAAAAAGTCGACTTTCAAGTTTTTTTAAAAAAACATTGCTATACTTTCCAATTCACGACAAAACTCAACCTTTACAAAAATCATTTCTATAAACAAACTTGACTAAGTAAATTGCTTACATATTTTCGCAACTAGGCCGAGTATACCATTCATTAGGTTTTCAACAGAACTCAGAAATCCCAAAATAGCAAGAAACTAGTTTTTTCCCAAATCATAATACACCATATATCAACCAAACATCAATTAAAGTATTTCTAAATTACCAAGATCAACAGTAAACTCCTCAACCAAATTTTCATATTTTTCAAGAGGTCTACTTTAGAAATTTCACTATCCATGTCCTTTATCATCATTTTAATACATCAAATATATCATTTCATTTCCAATTTGAGAATTCAAATGTACTCTATCACGCGCATGAGCTGTCATGCACATCTAACCGTTTCTTTCACGTGCTTTGTCTTTATTGGCCCGTGTCTGTGACGCGCCTACAAGCTGTCTTTTATTCGTCTGCACCGTCTGATGTATCCGGTGCTCCAGGCGCAATAAATGCCCTGTTTTGCCGCCGTTTTTAAGTTTTTTTTTTTTTTTACAAACCTTTCCTTTCCCTTTTCTTTTCTCCACTTTTTGTATTCTGGTTTCTTGTTTTCTCTCTCTCTAAAAGCTCTAGCATTTTTCGAATCCGCCATTGTTCTAAATCCGAAATTCTGTGACCATTGTTACTCTTCCATTTCTGCGAAGCTTTTGCTACTGTTTCAACTACCGTCTAGTCTCGGCAAATATTGCTTCGGCTTCAGTTTATCCGGTAAGCAACTGGCCCCATTTACCCTCTTTTTCTAATTCTTGATTGTTTCTGAAGTTTCTTGCTATTACTGTTCTGTTTAAGTGTTATTCGTGAATCATTCACCTGAATGCGTCTTATTTCATGATTTTATGAACACTTGCACTGTTTCACTACTGTTCTTGGCCCTTAACCCTTTGTATTCTTTGTGTTCTTGATAGCCCATCCCTATTCTTGTCTCTGAAACTTCGCTTTTGTTCTTTGTTTTTTTTACCAGATCTGTGCACCCGATCTTCATCTTTATAATTGTAGGTTTGGGATTTGTCTATAGAACCTTCAATCTTTAGGAAAAACTGAAACAAACTTTACCATCCCTTTCCCAGGTTTTGACACCGAGGTTCTGGCAACCCTTTTGAAACACCTATTTTCTGAAACACAGCTTTCTGAACTTAGGCCGACGTTATGGGTATGTGGAGACATCGAGTAAATTCCCCAACAAAACTTGAATACTTTAGGCAGGAGTTCTCCATCCCAGCCGATGTTCACCTTAGGCTTGCTGGGGATGATGATTCCATCATGCCCACAGATCATACGATGCCCTTTCCTATTGTAGCCTTTACTGAATGTGGACTCCGGCTTCCACTCAATCCCCTCTTTCGCGAGGTTCTCCACTTTTATAGGTTGAACCCTATGCAACTTACCATCAATTCTTATCGAGTGATTAATGGTATCATAGCCCTGGCTAGGCAAGAGAACGTTAGAATCACCCTTGCCGATATCCAATTTTGTTATACCATGTGCCCCCTTAACCTGAAGGAAAGAGGTTATGTCTACTACCTCAAGCGGAGGTCTACCGAGTTCAAAATTGTAGCCGACCTCCCGGATTCCAACAAGGGAGCCGGGGATGACTTTGTCATTGCTTCGGGAAATTGGGAATTTGACCCAAACGAAGATGTTCACCTCTACCCTCTTCCTCGAACAGTTAAAGAGGGCAAGGGTAAGAGCCCAGTGCCAATACTTAGTCGTTTCTTTTCCAAAAAACTCTGTCTGTTTCTAATGTTGGTTTTGTTTGTCTTGCAGATCTTCATCAGCCACCCAAAAAATTTCGTTAGTCCTTCTTCCCTGGAAAAGACTTAAAGAAGCTTCTAGAACTTCCAGTTCAAAAGCGTAAGGCTCCCCTGTTACTAAACTTTATTCCGACATACAAATCCACATTACCCGACGTTCCAAAGAAAAAGAAGAAGAGCCTTTCTCCACCTACCGCTACAACTTTAACCGCTTCTACATCCCGAACAGATCAAGAGTCCACATCTGACCCTATCAATCAACCATCCACTTCGGCCCCATTCTTGATCCCGATACCAGAAAGAAAACGCCGGCGACGCCTTATCAAAACTGCCGAAATAGGTCGTGCAAAGCCAATTGCCCAAAATCTCCTTGCCGACCTTCCGACTGATGTTGACGCTGTACCATCCCAACCAATGCCCCCACTGAAGCCAAAAAGAATCAAGAAGGCCCAGCCTAAGGCCAGGGCTGTTGAGGCTGAAGATAGTTTGCCTATCTCAAAACTGGCTGAGAGTAAGAAGACTGCTTCTGCTTCTGCTTCTGCTTCTGCGAAAAGGTCTGCCGAGACCCAGCCCTCTGAATCTACCCAATCAAAGAAGCCAAGGTCCTCCTCTGCAACGTCTTCAAAATCCAAGGTGCCAAACGTCCCTTGGACGCCCGAGATTACCCTGGAGGACAAGCCGGTCATGGCTACTGACAGCGCCGACGACATTAATGTCGGCGTTGCCCTTAGTAAAGCTCTTTTTCTCCCAGGTGATCTGGAAAAGAATGCTGGAATGAGTGAGTATGAGAATTATACTTTCATGCTTCAACACTGTGTTCAAGTAAGTGCCTTCACTTGGGGACCTGTCTTTTCCTTTTTTGTTTATAAAACTTCTGTAATAATTCCTTGCTTTTGTGTTCTTTCAGGCTGTTCAGCATGCCCACTCATTTTCCATGCAATCTTTTGAAAACAGGGAGAAGTTATCTGACTTGTAGAAGGAGTTTTCTGCACTCCAGAAGATCAACAAGGGTCTTCAAGCAAAAATGAAGAAATTGGAAGACCAGGACGAGGCTGCCACTAAACCCCAAACTTTGGCTGAAGAAAAGGCCGAGGCTGCTGAAGCTATAAAGAAAGTTGCCGAAGCGCAGAAAAATGAAGCCGAGGACAAGGCCACCCAAGCCGAGAAGGAGCTTCAGGAGGCCTTGGTCACAAAAAAGGCTGAAATCAAAGAAGCTGATGAAAAGGCTTATGCGCAGGGCATGGCCGACGTCACTGAGGAGTACAAGCTTCAAGTCAGGGAAGCATGCAACAGGGGATTTTCCCTTGGTTGGATGTCTCTGTTAAAAAGACTTGACCTCCCTACTGACTCGCATTTCCGTAATGTCGATGCTATTCCTCTCCCATTTCCACCAAGCCAAGCCGAAGAAGAATCTGGGTCGGAGCCTGAAGATGGAGATGATCAGAATGCTGAGGCTTTGGTGAAGAAACCCAAGGGTGATGCTGGGGTCAAGTCTCCTTCTCAAATTGAGCCCATCCTGGACTTAACTTTGGATGAAGAGGGTGATGAGGTCGGGGAGGCGCCTAAGGAAGCTGTTACGGGGGTATTATCGTCCGACCTCCTATTAGCTGAAAGGAGTCTTGACAAAACGCTGGCAGAGATTGATGTCGAGCTGGCAGCAGAGAAGGCCGCTGAAGTAGTTCCACAGGAATCTGCCGAGGTTCAGACCCAAATTGCTTCTGAAGCAGAAGAATCATAACTTCCATGTTTTTTGTATTTTTTTTTTTGCTTGGCAATATAAGTTTCTTTGTATGGCCGATGTGCCTTGTTCTGAACAATTTCTCTTATGGATGCCTCAATCTTTTAATGTCTTTTTGATTTGCTTCTGTATTTTGCTACCTTTGTGCAATCTCCTCGGGGTTACATACCTCGGGTATAATGACGTCAAACTTTATTTCGGCAAGATTCAGTCCTGAAAAACTTTTGAAAAAATTCCAACAAGTGTTTAACATATACAATTTAATGTTTTCTATAAGTTTTTTCTTAAGTTTCAACAAGTACATAAACAGTAATTTTGGTCTAACCTACTTGTAAATTGCTGCAAATTTTAACAAGTGTTAATATATACTGTAATGTTTTCTTCAAGTTTAATCAATGATCTTCTTGTAAATTGCTACGAATTTCAACAAGTGTTTAAACAATATACTAAGCTTTTACCTCAACCTGCAAATTGCTGCAACTTTTAACAGATGATCATATGTCGGCTTAACATTATCTTGTAAATTGCTATAAGTGTGCAAACTATAACCTCGTCTTTACTTCGTCTTGTAAATTGCTACAAATTTCAACAAGTGAAGAGAAACAGTAATCTCGGCTTACCTTCTACTTGTAAATTGCTACAAATTTCAACAAGTGAAGATAAGGAATCAGCTTGACTCCAACTTGTAAATTGCTACAAATTTCAACAAGTGAAGACAAGGAATCAGCTTAATTCCAACTTGTAAATTGCTACAAATTTCAACAAGTGAATTAAGGAATCAGCTTGACTTCAACTTGTAAATTGCTACAAATTTCAACAAGTGAAGGCAAGGAATCAGCTTGTCTCCAACTTATAAATTGCTACAAATTTCAACAAGTGAAGACAAGGAATCAGCTTAATTCCAACTTGTAAATTACTACAAATTTCAACAAGTGAATTAAGGAATCATCTCGGCTTAACTTCGGTTAAGCATCTTCTCGGTCTCATTTCAGTTTTGAACATTATCTTGGTTTAACCAACTTGTAAATTGCTACAAATTTCAACAAGTGGTAAACGTATTCTTCTTCTTTCTGCCCCCAATGTGAACCTGAGTTCTACTTGGATTCTCATTATTCATGTCTCCAGAAAACATCAGTTTGTAATTTTATCAGTCATATGTGTTTGAAAGAATTTTTTGAGAAGACTTTATTGATGATATCGGCCAAAAAATGATGCACATCTAAGGATAAAAAAATTTCAAATTACAAGTATTCCAAGGTCTGGGCAATGCTTTGCCCTCATTGTCCTCAAGCCGATAAGCTCCACTGCCTAATACTGAAGTAATTCTGTAGGGTCCTTCCCAGTTTGGGCCAAGCTTGCCCTCTCTGGGATCTTTTTTTGTTGCCGACGACTTTTCTCAAGACTAGGTCGCCGACTTGAAAATCTCTTGGATTGACCTTTTTGTTGTAAGTTCTTGCAAGCTGCTACTGGTATATTGCTAGCTGAATTGCAGCCTTTTCTCTTCGTTCTTCCAAGAGGTCCAGATCTCGGGCTAAGATTATGTCGTTAGTGCCATTCTCTACTCCCTGGGTTCTGATCCCTGGAATGCCAATCTCCAATGGGATGACAGCTTCTGTGCCATAAGCCATGGCAAAGGGGGATTTCCCGGTTGATCTTCTCAGCGTAGTTCGATATGCCCAAAGTACGTTGGGCAACTCGTCTACCCACTTTCCTTTTGCTGCCTGCAGCCTCTTCTTTATTCCATCCAAAATTACTTTGTTGGATGCTTCTGCTTGACCATTACTTTGGGGGAAGCTTGGTGTTGAAAAGTAGTTCTTGATCTTGAATTTGGCACAAAAGTTCTTGATGAGTTTGCTGTCAAACTATGTTCCGTTGTCGGCAACGATTGCTCTTGGAATGCCAAATCTGGTGATGATGTTTCTCCATATAAAGTTCTTAACGTCCACATCTCAGATTTTGGCAAGAGGTTCTGCCTCTATCCATTCTTTATGTAGGCTTCAGCATCCTTTTGCATGTAGGGCCACCAATACCCCTGGGTAATGGCCTTGTGGGCTAATGATCTGCCCCCAGTGTGGCTTCCACAAATTCCTTCATGGATTTCATAGAGGAAATCTTCAACCTGCAAAGGGTGTACGCACCTTAAAAGGGGTCCAGTGAAGGATCTTCTGTAAAGATGTCCATCTTCTGTCAGACAGAATCTTGCAGATTTCAATCTGATTTTGTGTGCTTCCTTACGATCTTCTGGCAGTTTTCCTTTTTTCAGGAATGCGATAATTGCATCCATCCAGCTTGGCCCCATGTCCACACACATTGCTTGCTGCTTTGTGCTCTCTGGTCCTATGCTCGGGCCCGACATGTAGTCGATCATAATTGTTCTTGTTTTTCCAGTCTGAATTGAACTTGCCAGGTAAGCCAACGCGTCGGCGTGGGTGTTGTCATCTCGGCTAACATGGAGTAGTCGGCAGTTCTGAAATAGAGTTACTAATCTAATGACTTCTTTTGCATATGCCGACATCCTTTCGTCCCTGGCTGCGAATTCACCTGTTGACTGGTTAACAATAAGTTGTGAATCACAAAAAACTATTACCTCATCTGCTTCTGCTGCTGCTGCCAGTTTTAGCCCTGCAATTAATGCTTCGTACTCTGCTTCGTTGTTTGAGGCCTTGAACCCCAAACGGATGGACTGTTCCATTATTTCTCCATCTGGAGATATCAGTAGTACTCCTGCCCCTGCTCCTTGACGGTTTGAACTTCCATCGACGAACAGTCTGAATGAATCGCCGATGTAGATGCTGCAGGGTCTGAGTTTTTCCTTCATTTGTTCTTTTGCCTTTGGCTGGGCTTCTCCTTGCTTGCTGGGATGCTGCTCATCTCGGCTCAACGGAGCCCGATGTTCCATGGTTTCTAGGGTGAATTCTGCCACGAAGTCGGCCAAAACTTGGCCTTTTATTGCTGTTCTCGGCCTGAACTCCAGGTCATATTGGCCCAGGGCCACTGCCCATCTTGCTATCCTTCCTGTTAAGTCTCCTTGTTGTAACACGGACTTCAGTGGGTGCTCTGTTAGGACCACAATCTTGTGTGCCTGAAAATAATGGTTCAACTTCTTTGAAGCCATTACTAAGGCCAGCATTAATTTTTCTAGCGGCAGATACCTTGTTTCTGCACTGGCCAAGGTTTTACTTACATAATAAACCGCTTTCTGCTCCCCTTTTTCGTCTCGGATGAGTACTGCACTTACTGCGTGTTCTGAAACTGCCAAGTACAAAAACAGTTCTTCCCCTGGTTCTGGATTGGAAAGAACTAGAGTTGTGGTCAAGTACTTCTTTAGGTCGGCTAGAGCGGTTTCGCATTCTTCTGTCCACAGAAAGTCTGTGGCTTTTTTCACCAAGTTGAAGAAGGGTTGCATTTATCTGAGCTTCTGCTGATGAATCTGTTTAGGGCTGCGGCCCTTCCAGTAAGCATCTGAACCTGTTTCGCCGACGTCGGGTTCTGCAGCTCTAGGATGGCCTTGATTTGGTCTGGGCTGGCCTCTATGCCCTTTCTCGTTACCAGATATCCTAGAAACTTACCTGATCTAACTCCAAACGCGCACTTTGATGCGTTGAGTCGGAGCCGGTATGTTTTGAGTATATCAAAAATCTCTTTTAGGTCGGCAAGATGTCACTTAGATTCTTTGGTTTTCACGACCATGTCATCGATGTAGACTTCTACCGTTTTGCCAATCAGGTGCTTGAACATTTTTGTTACTAACCTTTGGTAAGTTGCTCCTGCGTTCTTTAACCCAAAAGGCATTACCTTGTAACAGTACAAGCCTTTAGGGGTGATGAACGCAGTTTTTTCCTCGTCTGGTGGGTACATGGCAATCTGGTGGTACCCCCTGTATGCATCCAAAAAACTCATCCTTTCGTGCCCTGAAGTTGCATCTACTAGCTGGTCAATCTTGGGCAGAGGAAAGCTGTCTTTGGGGCAGGCTTTGTTGAGGCTGGTAAAGTCTACACAGACCCTCCATTTGCCATTCTTCTTTTTCACTACTACTGTGTTGGACAGCCATGTCGGATAGTGAACTTCTCGGATGGCCCTGGCCTCCAGAAGTTTGTCTACTTCTTCTTCTAGTGCTTCGACGTGCATCAACGTCGGTCTTCTGGCTCGTTGAATCACAGGTTTGGCCGACCTGTCGACATTCAATCTGTGGCAAGTGACCTCGGGGTCAATGCCAGGCATTTCATAAGGTGTCCAGG